CCCACTGGATGCCATGTGCAAGACGTCCTGGCTCATGCCAGTGTTTGAGATAACTTAATAAATGATGTTGTGACTGGTAGCCAGCATTTAGGGTATAAGACGCCTAGTTTTAGCTATGCCTGTGGTCTCGGATTCTGGCAAGCTCTGCCGTGTGTGTGAGCCGTTGAGGCCCCAGCTGATGGGAACTCCGCCTGCATTTTTTGTAAGTCTGGTGCTTTATTAAAAATCTCCTCGCAAGCAAACCGGGCTCTCACGTATCGTTTCCTTGGGATTTCGGCGAACCTTTGAGCTCCTGGCCAGAGCCCGTCACGCCTGCAGAGACTTTCTGTGGCTTGAATAGCTCAGGCTGGCCCCAAGCTTGTCGGAGCTTGGAAGCTCAGCAGACTCAGCCCTGGCTACTGCTTTGATGGGAGGCCGCCAAGGAAGACTCCACCACTATGGTCAGCTTCGGAGGTCCCGCTTTGGGTGCCCCCACCTTTTGAGATTAGGCAACGGAGGGGGCCTTCTGGAGAGTGGCATAAAGACTATGAAACTCTCGCCCCAGGGAGATTCGTCTGTCCCATTCTGACACTGTCTTCTGACGGCGGGTAAAGGCTTCTTTTGCTTTGTTTTACCTGGTGCTCCCTGCCTTGTACCCTGTGCGTTCACTGCTGCTTCCTGTGCTTTTGCATACATCAGGGCCCTGTGGGACCTTCTGCAGGGCCAGGCTTTCAAGTAGGTTGCCGCCTCGACACCATGGTCCTAACATCAACATCACCACCAGCTGGACAACTAACAGCCTGGCAGGAGCCTGGACGAGGGTGAAGGCGGCCATTCAAATGTTGACAGAACGTTGCCATCTTTTATTATAGAATGTACTGTGCAGTTATGGTTTTATATTGTAATCTTAACTCTGTTTTTACCATATTATGGAGTTTTAATGTATATATTCATATGTGTGTCTGTTAGCTGCCCTGAGCCGTCACGGCGGGGAGGGCGGGATATAAATTTAATATAATAACAATAACAATAACAACAACAATAACAACAACAATAACAATAATAATTTAGTTATGCTTTTGTTTTTATGATACATGTTTTTAATCCCTTAGCTGCCTTGGTGGCCCGATGCGGGTAGAGAGGTGGGGTATAAATCTTATAAATAACTGAAGTGCCCAAACTATGGTTAGATCACCTAATGGACAAGAAGTTGGCCAGGCAAGAACGGTATCTGCAAGCCGAGAATGCCCCTTTGCCATCGGCATTATCGCTGTCAAGATAAACCATTTCTAAGAAAATAAGCCTTAAAACAGAGACAGAAACTCACAAGCTTAGCAGACTTCGCAAATGACACATGGAGATGTTTCAGAAAAGCATAATCAATGGCATAGTTTGTTCAACAATAATTACTTGGCCTAAAGTTCATTTGAAATGAGCAATGAAGTTCTCATGGGAGAGTAATTAAAGTGTGGCTCATAAACATCCTTGGCTTTGGCATCTAGAAATAAATATATAAACCAAATCCAGCAACTAAAAGCTTCCTGCACTTCACAGCAGAATACCCGAGAACGCTAGAGGTAGGACTGGCTGATATGTGAGCAGACTGCCCTCTACCGGTCAGCATCTATCTTTACAGTTCCCTCCCACCATTCTGTTAATAGTAAAGCTCTTCTTCCTGAAAGACAGTTTGCACAATGAAGCAGGTTGAATTCTAGAAGGCCTTCTCCTTTGGGATTGGCAGAAGAATTAAGCGATAGTCTCTTTGAAAAGGAGCCAGAGTGCTGTCTTTGGTGAACAGGAATCTGCCATTCAGATGAAGGACATAGGCACCCCGGTAGTTGTGTTGGCATAGGGAACAATGGCTGTGCAGCTGGCCCTGCTAGTGCAAACCCTGCTGTTGATATTAAGAGCCACCTACTCCTATATGAACCTACCTGACCACGGCGGTAATCTTCAGGGGCCCTTCTTTGGCTGCCATCTCCATCTGAGGCTAGGTGGGTGGCAACCTGAGAAAGGGCCTGCTCGGTTGTGACACCAGCATTATGGAATTCCACAATTCCCAGGGAGACTCATCTGACCTCCCCCTCCCCCCCCCCCGCGACAGTATCCCCGGGATCACTGTCTTCCACCAATGGATGAAGACACCTATTTTGTTTAGTGTTCCCTCACTGGCGCATCCTTCCTGTGTATGTGGTTTTAATAGCTTTGATTTTTGACTGCCTTGGGGACCCTGAGTTGGATGGAAATGGGGCATAAACTGTTTAAAGGGAATAAGTGCCCAGCTACCTCACTCGGCTACAGGATAGCACCGGGGAGGCGAAAATCAATCTTCGTATAAGAATATGGAAAAATCTCCATATATATATGTACCAAGTTGGACTCACTAGCCGAACTATCAGAATCACAGATGAAGTGGACTACAATTCACATGCATCAGCTGTAAAGGTGCTCAGTGAGATGTGGGCTTTTTCCCACGCTCTTGGGCTGGATGAAATACCCCAGACCCATAAAGAACACAGAGCCTTGTGCCCCCTCCTCTCACACGCTCCAGTCCTCTCCCCAGCTTCCTGATCTGTAACAAACCACAGTCTGCTGTTACAGCTGAACCAGCAAACTACGGTTTGCACTTGCCCTCTAAGCCAATACTGGTTTCCGACACTGGCAGAAAGTCAGAGGTAGCAACAAACTACAGATTACTGCAAAAGGGAGGGTTCACCAAATCCGAGTTCACCAAATCATTCCCCCCCTCCCCATTACGCTAGTTTGTCTGCACTCCCTTAACATGCAGGTAGATGCCCCAAGGAAGCTCACTAGCAGGGCATGAGGAAGGGAGAGCCATGCTTACTGACTGTCAGGTCACAGCTGACCTCTGGTGACCCCGTGGGGTTTTCAAGGGAAGAGATGTTCAGTGGCGGTTTGCCATTGCCTCCCTCAGTGTCATGACACTGGACTTCGTTGGTGGTCTCCCTCCCAAATGCCGGCTTAGCTTCTGCGATCTGAGATCAGGCTAGCCTGGGCCATCCAGGTCAGAGCATCTGGTAATCGGAAGTATGGAATTTGGGGGCTGCTGAGGAATTGGGAGGGAGGTCAGTTTGGAAACCCCTACCCACCCTCAAAATCCACCCACCCACCCCCGATTCTGTAAGATTCCAGGGGGTTAAGCAGGCAAATTCCCCTCCCTGCCTTCTCGGCTTTCCCCTTTGACAGAATCGACTACTGTCAATAATATTCCAGGGGCACACTTGACTGTTTTGTGCATTCATTCCTTTTTCATTTGGTTAATTTCACAGTAATATATATATATATTTTTACATACCCAGGGATGTAGAAATTAACTTATCTGAGGGTGGGCCCCACTGTGCTGCTTTTGTGAACATTAACCATAATCCAGTGTAAAGTTAAGTGTACGGAAGGCCACTGAGATCAATGGTCTTAAGTGCTCTTAGCTCCACTTTTGGACTCTGGCCACGGCATAATTTATTACTCCAGTAATCTTCATATAAACAGAATAAATTCATTTGTACAAGATAAAGAATCTGGTTTGGGCAGAGGACCATTACAGATTTTTGGACTTAGGGAAGCCAGGTTTCCTGCCAGCTTTGGCTGCTGCTGCTGCTCTCCTAGGTGCCAGGAAAATTGGGGGGGGGGGATTGGTGGTGTGCTGGTGCTATGAAACCACTTCTTCCATGACTTGGAAGTGATGTCACTGTCTTGGCCAACACTCTAGCATTCACTCATAACTCTACGATTAAACTACAGAGTTTAATCTAGAGTACCATACATATGCAATGACTAGGGTTGCCACACACACACGCACCCCGATAGGGGCGGAGTTCTTCCGGCTTTCAGGGGGCCCAATCCACCGCCGGTCAGCTGGCTGGCAGGAGAGCCCCACCCTCGAAGAGCCCTGTCATGCCCAACGTGCCTGGTACAATGTCACCCAGAAGTGACGTCATCATGCTGGGCACATCGTGCAGGGGACACTCTAGCATTTGGGTAAAAACTCTATGGTGACCATAGAGTTGTTTTTTTTACCCAAATGCTAGAGTGTCCCCTGAATGACATGCCCAGTGCAATGACAACCCCGGGAGCCAGGCTGGAGCCTCCCGCTGGGACGCAGGTAAGACCCGGCAACCCTAGCAATTACGTAACTTCCAAGTCATGCCAGAAGCAGCACCAGTGAAGGCCCCCACGCCAAAGTAAATCTCACACTGATTACCAGCTTTGGGCAACCATTCCCAACACAGAATTTGTCTTTTCCACTGACACAGCACACTACTGTCCCCATGATATCTTGCTTCTCCAGTCGCAACGTATACCTCATTGGTGAACGTGAAAAAATTACAATTATGTATCCCAGTCTGCACTTCCTTGATTGGAATCTCATCTTCCTTTTTTTTCTTTTTGCTCTGTCCCCCAATAAAGAGAAAAACATCTGAAGCTCTTCAAAGAGAAGGTTATCCCCTCTGTATTTAGGATTAGGATGAGAGTGGACGAACACTTGGATTCTCCAGAGAATACCTGGCGTGGCAGAACACCTAGACCAAGATCTTAAAAAGTGGCTACGTTGACTCCCCAGAAAGGAACCCATACCATTTTCAACCCAATTCAATCTCAGGAGTCTCAAGCTGTGTTAGACCAGTCATTTCAGCACAGTTTGCATTTCAAAGGACAACGCCCCCGTCCTTCCTTGAAATGCAGCTGCCTCTACGCTAGGATGCAACAGCTGTTTAGACAGCTCAAAGCAGCACTGGAAGAGGAAATGGTTCCTTTTCATTTGCTCCCTCAAGTACTGGCCATCCGACTTCAATATTTTAAGAAAGATCAAGAGGAAAGTGTACAAACATTTTGTTTGGCCTGCCTTAGATATCGCACTTCTTCCTAACAAGCTCACATTTGGTAACTTTTTTTTGTTTTGTTTTTTGCTTCCAGGTTTCGAGAGCTGACCAACTATGAGGGAGCAAGTGAATGCAAGACAGAAGGGGCTAGTCAGATGCTCTTTTGTCTTCCCTTCAACCAACCTTTAGCTGGCATGAATGGCTGAGAAGGATCGGATGAAAGCTCCAGAGGAAACTGCAGCTGTTCTTCATTATCGGCGGAAGCTTAAAGCAAAAAAAAAAAGGGGGGGGGGAAGGATGATGTGCATTAATTTCTGTAAAAAAAACAAGAGTTCAGAGAAGCTCTACAAGTCTAATGCCTTTTAGACATATGCGTGCTATAATTATAATACAGTAGAAAGCAGAGTCATGGGGCGATTCTGCACTGGCTTTTCCCTCCGTTGTTTCAGCAAACCCAAGTTGGAACAGAAATTCCCCTCTGCATTGCATGCCGTTTTCACTTCCTTTGGTCATGGGTTTTATGGTACCGTCTGTATAGATTTATGGCCACTTTAAGGCCATTCAGGGGTCACTTTGCAGTCAGTACAGCATTGGCCCAGGGTATTAAATAAGTTATATTCGCAGTCATTGACCAACACATAAACCGATGAGCCTGGGGTATTTGAATGTGGTTTTGAGCTGCACCTTTTCCTCGGTGGCTGGTTCTGCATCTGGCATTCGCTCCACATTTTCTCAACATTGAGGAAAAGGTGCAGCTCAAAACCACATTCAAATACCCCAGGCTCATCGGTTTATGTGTTGGTCAATGACTGCGAATATAACTTATTTAATACCCTGGGCCAATGCTGTACTGACTGCAAAGTCACCCCTGAATGGCCATAAAATGGCTATAAATGTATGCAAAAGGTGCCATAACACCCGATGGTTAAAGGGAGTGAAAGCGGCATGCAATGCAGAGGGTACCATAAAATCCGATGATCAAAGAAAGTGAAAGCAGCATGCAATGCAGAGGGGAATTTCTGTTCCAACTTGGGTTTGCTGAAACAATGGAGGGAAAAGCCAATGCGGAATTGCCCAGTATTGAGAAAATGGGGAGTGAATGCCAGATGCAGAACCAGCCATGGTCGCTACAAATGCAGCTCAACCTAACAGAGGACTGATGAAGTGGTGTGAACTGAAGAAACTTGACAACCAGAAGGTTCCTCTAGAGGCCCATGCTGCGGCATGGTTCCACCCGCTCTAGGGAGGGAGAGCGTACAATCAGAGGGATTTTTTTTAGCCTTTACAGGTTCTTAAATAGACTCTGCACATGCTTCACAGCCCATCAGTGCGATGCACAGAGACCACAACGGAGAGCACCTTCTTTCCAAGAATCTCGCATCTACTCTCTGTTGCAGACTTGCCATTTGTAAAGTTAACACTGGACAAGCATTTGCTAGGGATACTCTGGTGTAGTGGTTAAGTGCATGCACTCTAATCTGGGAGAGCCGGGTTTGATTCCCCACTCCTCCACTCGCAGCTGCTGAACGACCTTGGGCAAGCCATAGTTCTGTCAGAGCTGTTCTCTCAAGGACAGTTCTGGAAAGAGCTCTCTCAGCCCCGTCTACCTCACAGGGTGCCTGTTGTGGGGAGGGGAAGGGAAAGGAGTTTGTAAACTGCTCTGAGACTCCGAGTGAAGGTCAGGGTATAAATCCAATCTCTTCTTCTTCTTCTAGTTTAAGCATCAGACATCACGGCTTAGAGACGGAGCTCTTAACTTGACCCAAACAGTACTAATTCCAACTGGGTAGATGCCAAAATAAGCATATTAAAAGAACGATGCTGTTGTGTGGCTTTATATTTCTAGATAGGAACTCTCAGGCTGGGGCAAGTGATGCTCTGTATTCTTGGTGCTTGGGGGGGGGGGAACAGTGGGAGGGCTTCTAGTGTCCTGGCCCCACTGCTGGACCTCCTGATGGCACCTGGTGTTTTTGGCCACTGTGTGACAAAGAGTGTTGGACTGGATGGGCCATTCGCCTGATCCAACATTGGCTTCTCTTATGTTCTTAATTAAAATCTAAACCCCTGGAAATTAGATTGGGATGGATCCAGATTAAATTCCCACCAACACTGCAGGACTTTCCTGCCTCCTGTATCCCACCGCAGCAGACCGATCTCCGCAAAGTGCTGCTCCTGCTTCCAGAACAGAGAAGATCCTCAGGATCAGGGGTCGTTTCGTAGAAAAAGAGCTAGGGGAACTCATTAGCATAACTCATTAGCATATGCCACACCCCCTGACATCACCGGAAGTGTGTCATAAGGCCACACACCCTGACATCACCGGAAGTGTGTCATAAGGCCACACACCCTGACATCACCGGAAGTGTGTCATAAGGCCACACACCCCGCCCCCAACGGTCCCCGCCGCCGGCCTTGCAGCTCCACTGCCGAGCTCCATGAGGGGCCCGGCGGTGGACCTGCAAGGCCGGCGGGAGTGCAAGGAAGCCCCGCGAAGGCCCTCCCTGGCCCCAGGCAGGCAGGGGTGGGGAGAGGCAGGGAGGAAACAACTTACCCTCCCTCTTCTCCTGCCTCCTCCTGGCTGAATGAGGGCCGGAAGCGGGGCGGCCAGAAGCAGGGGGCGGGGCTTCGTCATGTGCCCCGCCCCCTGTACCTCACCCGGGGGAACTGCGATCCCCCCCGAAATGACCTCTGCTCAGGAACAACACGAGGGGAGGTCTGCAGCAGGAAGGTGAGGTGAGTGGGAAATGGCCCATTCTGTCCTCATTGAGCCCACAGCTTTGAAAGATATATATTTCCAAGGGATATGATGAAAGGAGCTTCGACGCTTGAAAGCTCAGACCCCGGATATCTTGCTGAGTCTCTGAGGTGCGACTGGAATCGAATCTGGATACTCGCAGCCCAACACAGCTGCACTCTGAAGCTAACTCCCAAGGCGGAGGCCAGCAAGCAGCCGTGCGGGAAAATGATGGAGCCAGCCAGAAGATGTCTATACCTTAAAGTCAATATATGTTGTCTTCCCTATCCCCTACGAACACTGTTAGTCCCTTGTCTATATATGGAGTAACTGTACATCGCTTTGAGCCCACTGGGGAAAGCGATTAATAAATGGAAAGTATTATTATTATTATTATTATTATTATTATTATTAGCAGCACTGCCACCTCTTGCTCCAAATATACTTTGTGATTCATTCGTTTCTGAGCCTGGCAGAAAAGGCTGAGGAGACAAAGACCTGACTGAAGCAGAGGGGCCCCACGGTTGAAATTCTCAAGATACTTCCTGTAAAGGACTGGAGGTGGCGAGATTGACGCTAGAGAGATCTTGGACGGCCGCTGCCAGCCAAAATGGACAAGGACTAGACAATTAGACTCCATATTTAATGCTCGTCCAAACAATGAGTGTACTTTACTAATCCAGCGTGGAGACCAAACAGATTTCAAAGTAAATCAGAAATTAAAAAAAAAGACTGGGAGTTGTATTCGGTGTGCCACCAGCTGCCCAGAAAAATCAACACAACTATTGCCCTTTGTGACTAATGCAATGGCACAGCTAAGACACTGGAGGGAAAAGCTAATGTTTTGGGTTTCATCGTGTTTCCCTCCTGATGCAATCTGTGGTAAAAAGGAGCCCTGCTCCCTCAGAGTGTACACTGCAATCTACAAACTGTGCACACGTGTGTGTGTGTGTGCATGAAACAACACAGGGCAACTGACCTCATAATGGTTGAAGAATACATGGAATATGGAGTTGTAGAAGGCTTTGTCAGTTTCTCAAGGTCAACCTGATCCCACTTTTCAGTTAACTAGGACACTGGATTATTAAAGTAGCTCCATTTTATTTTAAAATCTTTACTCTGTGTATTCATAACCAAAGTTCCAATTTATCTCAACTGTGTCTCCCACATGTGGCATCGTAGGTAGAGTATATCTGTGGGATCTTTCCACATGCATGGGTGCTAGTGAGATATCCATGCATTATGGCTCTGCCAAGGCATAGGTTTGCCATTGCCTGCAAGAGGTGGTTATAACGATGTTCCCTTTAAGATGAGTTAGTGTGAGCTAGCTCACAGTTTTTTAGCCTCCGGCTCACACGTTTTTTGTCTTTGCTCAGGAAGGAGGGCTCCAGAGCAAACTGATCCATGCAGGAGCCAAATCGCTCGCTCACAACTTTAATGCCAGTAACTCACAAAGTAGAATTTTTGCTCACAAGACTCCAAAGCTTAGTGGGAGCATTATAGATATACCTGGCTGTGAATAGGGAGGGGCTGTGGTTCATTGGTAGAGCATCTGCTTGGTGTGCAGAAGGTCCCAGGTTCAATCAAGTTGAAAGGATGAAGAAGAAGGTGATGTGAAAGACCTCCGCAAAAGACACTTGACAGCCACTGCCATACAGAGTAGACAATACTGATCTTAATAGACCAATAGTCTGGCTCATGAGAAGGCAGGTTCATGAGTCCAAAAACTACTTGACTGGAATAGTTTTATTAGTCGTGATGAAAATCAATCCATGCCACAGCACTGCAACCACTGCTATTTACTTAGTTCCACTTAAATGAATGGGCAAACTGGAGTCGTAGTAGCCATAGGGAGAAATTACGGCATTCATAGTGAGGGAGGGTTGACAGATTCTTCCATTTTTACCTCTTTGTAATGTTTTCTCTGCTGGTGTCTTAGTGGACTGCAGTGCTTGGTGTCTGTCGAAGGTTATTGCAACCGCTGTGACAGTGACCTGCAATTACAAGCAGAAAGCCATCACTTGTTGTTCCAGATCCTCCTTCTCCAAAGTTGATTATTAATCGAATCTATCCTTGGAGGCAACTGGGGGGGAGAGGGGGGAGATCCAGAAACATACAAGTTGCCATTGCTTGGTAAACATTTGCTTCTGATTTTTGAATGACCATGGCAAGTCTTTTAAACACACTAACCAAAATTCAGGTCAGCAAGTAAAGCTTTTTGTGAAGTGTTACGACCTACTCATCAAGAACTTTTTTTTTAGAAACAGATAAGACAAGAAGGGGGACCTGCAATACTCACGAGGGGGGGGAGGAGCTCCATGTAGAGGAGGAGGAAGCAGCTGCAGGTAAGCCTTCGCCCCCGGCACCAACGGCGAGGCCCGTGTGGCTCCCACCGGCACAGCCTCCCACCCGGCACCGCCAGCGGGGCCCACCAAGCCTTCTCCCCTGCCCCCCCTGGCACCAATGGCAAGGCCCGCGCAGCTCCCAGCCACCGGGCCCGCTAAGCCTTCTCCCCCGCCCCCTCGGCACCAATGGTGAGCTTTCTCCCCCCCCCATGGCGGCGGCGGCAGTGGCAAGGCCTGAGCGGCTGGCCCACCAAGCCTTCTCCCCAAATGTGCAGGAAAATCCCTTTGCCCCCTAGGTACCCCCGATGTACGGATTTAGATATCCGCATGCAGGGGGCACCTTGGTTATTAGTATATAGATTGTTACTGTAGCTCAGCACTGACAGCAGCCCCATGCACTGACTGAACACATGGGGAGGGAGAGGGGGGGGAGGGAGGGCCCCACCCCCTGCTCCCGCTCCCTGCTCCCGCTCCCACACCATCTCCTGGTTGTCAGCAGGGTTCAATGTGCAGAGGAAGTGGCCATGCAAACTCTCCCTCCCTCCCTGTGATCAGCAACGTTCCGCAACCAGCATCTGTCATCACAGGGAGGGAAAGTTCACCACCAGGCGATGGCATGGAGGCAGGGCCAACATGTTAGCTCCTACTCTCCCTGTAGTGCCACCATGGAACTACCCCTCAAGGAGGACTAAGGACCAGTGTTGCCAGGTAACTATCTTGGCTTAGAGCATAACTGGCAGCTAATTTCCATCCAAGAGACTGCAGGATCACTTCGTTCCAGGACTTCAGACTTGCTAATAAGGGTGTGTCAAGTGAGAGCACTACAACCTGACTCAGCATGACTGTCACGTGATACTCATACTGGACAGCTGCACCTAAGTGGGCTCTAAAGCAGTCAAATGTATGGCCCGTGGACCAAAACCGGCCCATTGAGGGCTCTTATCTGGCAACTGATTACCTTTATTGCAAGATGACAGAAGCTATGCATTATGTCCCTGTCTAGCTTTATGTCCCAATGCTAATGTGTAACGGGGAGGGGAAGCGGGAGGGTGGGCATCAGGGAGACACTGTAAGGAAATACTGTAAGAGTGTTAATATTCTAAGCAACTTTGTATTTTGAATTTAAAATAATATCCATCAGTGGCTATTAGCCACAAGGTATAGATAGGGGCTCTGGGGCAAGTGATGCTCTGTCTTCTTGGTGCTTGGGGGGGTGTCACCAAGTGGGAGGGCTTCTAATGTCCTGGCCCCACTGGTGGACCTCCTGATGGCACCTGGTATTTCTGGCCACTGTGTGACACAGAGTGTTGGACTGGATGGGCCTTTGGCCTGATCCAACATTGCCGTCTCTTATGTTCTTATGTAATATTGTTAATTGGGTTTGCCTGTGTCCTTTATAAAGTTTATATCTCTGGTACCTGGCATTACATTTTATGGCACACATGGCCCAGCCCAACAAAGTGACATTTATGTCAGGTCTGGCCCTCATAACAAATGAGTTTGACACCTCTGCTCTAAAGTATACAAGGGGAAGCGGAAGCAGCAGCAAAGGGGGCTTCACTGGAGACCTGGAGCTGCTGGGAATCGCTGCCACTACAGCAAGCCCCGAGCGACTATAGGGATGAGAAAAACACTCTTTATGTATATTGTGGTTTGTTTTTGTTCCTGTAATTAAAATCTACTTGGTGTTGCCAAGGTATCTTGCCTCACTGAGCTTCTTTTGCCCCCCCCCCCAATCCAATAAAAAGAACCGCTGCTTCAGGCAAGAAAACGGCCTCTGGCAAAACATCCCTTCCCCATGCATTCACTGAAGATGCAGCGGTGGAAAAGAGCAAGAGTCCAATAGCACCTTAAAGAATAATGAAATTTGTGGCAGGGTATGAGCTTTCATGAGTCGCTGCTCATTGAAGAGGAGGAGTCCAATAGCACCTTAAAGAATAACAACATTTGTGGTAGGGTATGAGTTTTCTTGAGTCACTGCTTGCTTCTTCAGATACAGCGAGAATGTGAGTTCATCTGCCCTATATATTGGAAACAGGATAGATGCACTCACATTCTAGCTGTGTCTGAAGAAGTGAGCAGTGGCTCATAGAATCATAGAATGTTAGAGTTGGAAGGGACCTTGCAGGTCATCTAGTCCAACCCCCTGCACTCTGCAGGAGCACAGCCGAAAGACAGCCCTACAACATACCCGAAAGCACATCATGAAAGCATCATCCCCTACCACAAATTTTGTTAATCTTTAACGTGATACTGGACACGTGCTCTTTTCTACTGCTGTGGACAGACTAACACAGCTGCCAACCTTGACTGAACATGTAGGACTGTCATGTGCACTGGGAATACAGTGAAACGAACCAACAAAACGTGACAACCTTCTTTGGGCTGTGATGCTTCGTTAGCCGATATACGGGTGTGAGAAAAGGCGAGAAAAGAACACAAAAGCTGTTTCTGGAATAATATTTAAAATTATTTTAATTAAGGCCACAATTTAAAATCGTTTCACCACACTTGGGTAAGTAGACAAATGAGGGAAAAGATGAGAACGAAGCTCTAGCTGAACTTTAAATACAGCAGTCACTTTAAAAGCTTCACTGCAAGATTACGGAACATTTTATTAAGAAGGGAAGCCGCACAGAGCACCACAATTACTGGGAACCACAGGAGCAACTTTATGCGAATATAATTAAAGTATCAAAAACCGAATCTCCACATGAAATGGTTTCCTTTTCTAGAGTTTGTGTTCAATACTGAGACTTCTAAATTTACTGTTCCTCCAAAGTACTATGAAGTATTTCATCGTATGTAACAAAAAAAGTATTTTCTATGTGACATTTTATAGTTATATCTCATACTATGGTATTTTAATGTTAAATGTTCTGTATGTTCACTGTTATTTTACAAAATAAAAAATGTTCTTTAAAAAAAAACATACCATGTTAAGAACAAAGTCTGAGTCCGGTGGCATTTTTAAGACCAAAGAAGTTTAATTCTGGGTATAACCTTTCATCTGTATGCACATTTCTTTAGATAAATCTGATGAAGTGTGCATGCACATGAAAGCTTATACCCAGAATTAAACTTTGTTGGTCTTCAAGGCGCTACTGGACTCAAACTTTGTTCTATGGTTTCAAACCAACATGGCTACCCAGCTGTATCTATACCATGTTAAGGACTTTGCAGCCAACAGACACATGGTTGGATCACAGGTCTTTCACTAGATTAGCATACACACAAGTGCCATCATAAGCACAGTTTCACCCCTTCTAAGCTAAACAACATCAATGGACTTCTTTCACAGAATCACAGAACGGGAAGGGGCCACAGAGACCATCTAGTTAGTACAATCTCCAGCTCAATGCGGGATCAGCCTAAAGCCTCCTTGACAAGGGTCCATCCAGCCACTGCTTGAAGACTGCCAGCAAGGGGGAGCTCACGACTTCCCTAAGCAGTCAATTCCACTGCTGGACTACTTTGATTGCAAAAAAAAAACCCCAACACCTTAATATCCAGCCAGAATCTTCCCACCCAAAATTTAAACCCATGATTGTGAGTCCCGTCCTCTGCTGCCAAAAGGAACTGCTCCCTGCCCTCCGAGTGACAGTCCTTCAAATACGTCAAGAGAGCAATCATACCCCCCCTCAACCTCCTCTGCTCCAGGCTGAGCATTCCCAAGTCCATCATCTTTTCCTTGCAGGGCTGGTCGGTCTATTTATTATGATTCATTTATTTAATTCATTTATACACCCAATGGGGGATCCAAAGCAGGGTACCTCATTTGCCTCACAACAGCCCGGTGAAGCAGGTTAGGCTGCAGAGTGCGTGACTGGCCAAAGGTCACCCAGCAAGCTTCCATGGGGGGGGGTCTCTCCCAGATCTGGGTCTGGCATGCTAGCCACTATACCAAACTGACTCTCTTAGAAATGTAAGTCTGCTCAGGATGGAACTGACAATCTGCTTCCACGTGGCTACAATTTGCCATGCTCCTTCCGTTACCACTGGGAATGCTTCTGCATCAGAGTGGCCACATGATCGTTTCCCCCACAGGCAATGTTCCCTCTAAGCTGTGGAGTCTTGTGAGAAAAAATTCTACTTTGTGAGCTCCTGGCATTAAAGTTGTGAGCAGGTAATTTGGCTACTGCATAAATTAGTTTGCTCTGGAGCCAGCCTTCCTGAGCTAAGAGAAAAATGTGTGAGCCGGAGGCTAAAAAACTGTGAGCTAGCTCACACTAACTCAGCTTAGAGGGAACACTGCCCACAGGTATCTTGCTTCAGTTTCCCACAGTGGCCATCAACATCCCCCCCCCACAACTGGAAGGCTTTAAAAAAAAAAGTGGGGGGAAAGCCACACACCCCTCAAAGTCCTCAGGTGGCAGGCAGCAGGAGGGGAATGGTAGCCGTGTGGTGCTAATGTGGGCAGGAGTTCCAAAGCTGCACATCTTGCTTCCCTTTTTTATCCCTTTGCTTTTGATATGATCTTTCGCAAAATGGGGAAAATAAGGAAGCTGGACAAAAAGAGGACATTGTGCGGACCCCTCTGGAAAACAGTGCCACAATAAATAAGCTGACACTGAGAAAAGGGTATGTGTAGAAGCGGCCGGCGGTCTTGATTTTGCATTGAAAAGGTTACTAAGTGGGACAACATTATGCATCATCATCAAAATTATGAACTTAGATCAGGGAGCCCCCACCCTTTTCGAGTCTTTGGAATTCTGACACAGCAGGGCGGGCACACCCACAAAATGGCTGCCAGAAAATGGCTGCTGCGGGAGGCGGAGCCAGCCACAAAATGCCTGCGGCAGCTTCCCTTCAGTGACACAACAAAGACCCTTGGGCTGCGGTAGCTGCTGCCAAAAATTTATTTTTTAAAAAAAGATCTGCACAAGCAATCAAATATCCAGTGGCCAATCAGAAGCCAAAGCCCCAAATGACCCCACCCAGTGTAAAAAAAAACAACACTCAGCAGGCACCAGGGAAGGTGTGGGCAGGCCCCATGGCACCCACAGGCAGGCACCACACTGGGGACCCCTCCCCTACGTTGTTCTGGAAGCTCCAGTCAACGTGAAGAACTACGGAACCCCAAGGAACAAATGAAACGGGGTTACCTGAATTAATTCATCCTCTGGCAGAGCGACGGTAAAATTCACATGGCACAGACAGCAAGGAATCATCGATCGAAGTTTAAAGTACAGGCTCTGCGGGACACAAGACATCGTTTTACACGAGTTATATCTGCCTAATGTGATCTGAAGTGGGGAGGGGGGGGGTGTCTGGATTTCATCTGCCTCCTGCCCAATCCTCCCCCCCCCCCACCCCCCCCCCCCGCTTCAGAGCAAGCAAAGCCTGGCAACCGGCATCGAGGCTGCACTGGTTCCTTTCCGGACGACTATTCCTTGTGGCATCCCAATGCCTTGCGACATCTGTGCAGTCACATGGAACTTGGACCCATGTTTTTCACAGCTTTATGGTGGTCTGTCAGAAAGACTGATGACGTAAATATCTAGATGAGATGGGGGAACGGTAATCCCCCTTAAAGGAGGCAGTAAGACTTCTTTCAAAAGGGTGCTTCGACCCAACAAGGTGTCAGATCTTGGAAGCTAAGCAGGGTTCGCCCGGGCTAGTATTTGGAAGGGCGACCTCCAAGGAATACCAGGGTCATGACCAGTGCTCCCTCTAAGCTGTGGAGTCTTGTGAGCAAAAATTCTGCTTTGTGAGCTGCTGGCATTAAAGTTGCGAGCGAGCGATTTGGTGACTGCATAAATTAGTTCGCGCTGGAGCCATCCTTCCTGAGCTAAGACCAAAATGTGTGAGCCGGAGGCTAAAAAACTGTGAGCTCGCTCACACCAACTCAGCTTAGAGGGAACGCTGGTCAGGACATAGAGGCAGGCAATGGCAAACCACCGCTGAAGCGTCTCTTGCCTTAAAAAGAAATCTAGCTTGCTGCCTAGTGGTGCATAATGCTAAAAAAAGCTGCCAGACAAACTTAGGATCTCCTGGCTATACGACACACGATGCCATACAATAGTAATAACAACAACTACCCAATGAAATCATGAACACAGGTTTGCCAGGTATCATGGCTAAGCTTACTGGGTAAAAGTCTTCAGCTGAAGTCCATATTTTTCTGAACGACACACCTGCTTGAGCCATATCGCCAACTATTTACTGTGTATATTTTCAGAGACTTTGGAGGCATTTTATTTTGGAGACACGGTCTACAATTAGGAGTTCAGCCACAGCACCCTTCACTAGATTCAAAGCGACCACAGATAACAGATACCGATATATACTCCAGCCTCCCAATAAGAATACGATTTGAGGGCTGCAAGCGGACTGTCCGACAATGTCTGATTCTTAAATCTAGGGATGGCACGTTCAACACGTTCCTCAGCTGAGAAACCCAAGGCTATTTTTGGGCAGGAATGGAACGGAGTTCCGGCTGGCTCCCAAGTTGGCCACGCCCAGCAGGAACTCATTAGCATAATAGGCCACACCCAGCAGCAGAAACTCATTAGGATTGGCTACATTGGGGGTGTGTGGCCTAACATGCAAAGGAGTTCCTGCTACAAAAAAGGCCCTGGGTTTTGACAACAAACAAGGTAAACAGAATAAGAAGCAAAAGGTGGGTGTGGCTGGATGAGCACACTTCTGGTAACATGGGGGTGCGGCCTAATGTGCTAATGAGCTGTGCTGTCAGGGGTGTGGCCTAATATGCTAATGATGAGTTCCTGCTGTTGGGTGTGGCCTATTATGCTAATGAGTTCCTGCTGGGCTTTTTCTACAAAAAGAGCCCTAGGCCTACGAGCTGTCGTTTAAATTCCTGCCCTGAGACTGTATCCACCCACCCAGCAGCCCCAGCCCTAAGATTCATCCCAAAATCAGCTCACGCAATCCAGGCCAGAGTGTGTCAGAAGCTGTCATGCTGCAGAAAGGCCACAGAGGAGAAACAGCTCCAGATACCTCAAGCAACGCAAGTTAGACTGAAAACCCAGTGCCGGCAGCTGCCCTCTTACCTTCAGCAGGTTCTCACAGAGGTCACTGAAGGTCTTGTTGAGCGTTTGGTTCGTTAGGGTAATGTTGCTGAGTCTGGAGACTCTGACCGACGTGAACATCTGAAGCAGAAACAAGCGCTTGGGAGGCAGGCCATGCATTTTTACTTCAACACAGACACGGGGGGGTGGGATCGCCGGAGGATGGCAACGGCACCAAAACAGCACAGTGCGATCCTGCCCCACTCATCACCAACATCATAAAGCAGAGATATGGCGGATATCGTCGCAGAGGGTAGTCGTGTCAGTCTGCCATAGCAGTTAGTAGCACTTCAGAGACCAACAAGAGTTCCAGGGTATAAGCTTTTGAGAATCAAAGCTCCCTTCATCACACACAAGGGAGCTTTGATTCTCAAAAGCCTATCCCTTGAAATTCATCAGTCTCTATGCTGCTATTGGACTCAAATCTGTATACATTATCACGGACTATCTCACACATCCATGAAGACAGATTCAGGTGGGTGGCCGTGTCGGCCTGAAGCAACAGAACAAAATTTGAGTCCAGTGGCCCCTTGAAGACCAACAAAGTTTAATTCTGGGTATAAGTTTTCATGTGCATGCGCACTTCTTCAGATATCTGGAGGACTGTGCATGCACACGAAAGCTTATTCTCAGAATTAAACTTTGTTGGTCATAAAGGGGCCACTGGACTCACACGTCGTTCTGTTCCGCACATCATATTTTTACCTACGTGAATGCAACAAGCACTTATTTGTTTAACTCGTTTATTGTACAGACAGACGCGAAAGGGAAACGTGACTGGCTGCTGCTCGTACTGAGCACCAACTGGCCACAAACTTGGGTTTGTCATTATTATCATTTTACTTCTATCCCGCCCTCCCTGCCGAGGCGGGCTCAGGGCAGCTTACAGCAATTCAAGGATACAATTAAATACAGTAAAATACAATAAAACCTATCATAAACTTATAAATTACTTAAAATGACAATCATTTCAAACATAAATACATAAAACGCTGGAACGTACTCAAACAGCAAACAGAGCAGTTCTGATAACATAGCTTAGGTGCCTGCTGGATGTCAATATTTTTATACCAGCACAATTCTCATTTATTATGTGGTGAGCACAGGCAAGGAACGTCGATGGTAGGACCCTGGTTACAGGCCGGAAAGCCAGGGCGCGGGGACATTCCCCGGTGTGTCACAATGTGTGAAATGGCCTGTACACTTGAGCATTTATTGCATTTTCCCCTGGACCAAGGGATGAGCCATCTTTGCACCCCAGCTGTTTACTCCGCTCTAGGAGCCAGTTCACGTTTTACAGCCATAATGAGCGGGAAAAGAAAACAGTCAAACTAAGAAAAACAAAATAAAAAAACCCACTCAGTTCCACTCCAACAATCCTCATACCTTGAAAAAAAGGACTATCATGGTATAACTAAGTGCTACACCCATCAATTATGGCTTAGGATAGACATACCTAATGCAATGCCTTGTCAATGCCAACCAACACAGGTGTTAAGGGATGCTGTCCCGGCAATGTAAACATTTGTAGGGATGTGTGTTTAGACAGAACTGGCCAAAGGGCCCATCCTAAACAGACCTGGTGCAGCTACAACATCCCCTAAACATGGGCATGCAATGGGCTTGCGTATCCCACTTTCTTCTTCCTTTTGTGTGTGAATTTTCTGACTTACCTTTTCAGAGCTAACCACAGTAAATATTATGTCTGCCCAAGGTTGATGCTAACTATGGTCAACATCAAACAACACCTGAATATCCAACTCCATCCTTTGGCCACAAGCTTTGTTTTGAGGCTTACATTAGCAGTAATAGCTGTGCCAACAATGCTGTGCCATGC